ATTGGGGGTTCAGGGCTTGGAGTTTTTATATTTGGGGAGGTTGTTATTCGGGGCTGGCTGTCTACACTAGGGCTGCAGGGCTAATGAAGAGGTTTTGGCTAAGTAATTGGGGGTTCAGGGCTTGGAGCTGCGTGGGAGGCGGTCGTGGTGTGTGACCCCGAAACCCCCCTAATATTAAAACCAAACCCCAGGATCCGAGTTTTAATATTAGGGAGGGGGGGTTTAATATTGGGGGGAAGAGATTACCCTGTCAATACCCATCAGTTTTTTGAAAATTTGATGGCTTTGAAGCCAAATTTTGTTGATGCTTACGAAAGTTTTTTATAATAATTCCGTCGGAACTTTGACTGGAATCAATGATGGAGGTACTATTTGCTCCTTGCTGTCTGGGTGCTTCGCACATTTGTCCATGTTCGACGGAAGCACCCTCGTCGCTGCAAAGTGGAGCGTGTGGTGACATAGTGGACTCTCACTGGTAGTAAGATGGATTTTAAAGTGTGGCTACGGGTCTGTCGGTGCGAGGCTGGTTGAATCAACATGAATCAAACTTTGTTTCTGGATGCTTTGGTGCAGCCGCTGTGTTGGCCGCTTGCCAACTTGGAGGCAGTCGCTGTTGAGCTTTCCTCCAAGGTGGACCGCCAGTCTGTGGTGATCATGTTTCTGGTTGTGGTACTTACATCTGTTGGCTGTGCTTACGCCTGCGCCCAATATGTGATTTCAAGCTCTGGTGGTGGCTGCGGCTTGAAGTATTGTTGAGTGTTGCAGCTTCGCATAGCCATGCTGAGCATTTCCTTGGTTACACAGACAGGTGTTTGAGCAGATGGTCTTCGCAGCCACGAATTTTAACTCAAGCTGCCAGATCCTGTGCGCATCTCCTCAGCTTGACCGCGTACGCGGTTATATTGCGAGTTAAGGCACCAGTCTATTCACGGGTTTACATGTCCCATGCTCCCGCTTGCAGAGCAGGTGCCGATGGCACAGCAGCTCCCAGTGCGGAACACTTTCATTGAGGCGGGCCAGACATGTCACGACACGTCCGTGGCTGCTTCTTACCGCAGCATGTAAGAGCCGAGGTGAGAACCCCAGCTGTCATCCGGCCGCGATCACAGACAGATTTCGCTCCAGGTGTTTGCCTTAGCTGTGGATTGTGGGGCGGCGGTGCTTAATGCAGCAGCAGCTTGCCTTCCGAAGGTCCTGGAAGCCCCGTCACGAAGGGCGTAGGCGCAGAGTAAATCATTTGCAGTGGTTTCAGAAGCGAGCCCAAAGTCTGCTGACTGTGACAGGTGCCCCCGTGCTTGCTGCGGCAGCCGCAGCTCCAGCAGCTCCACCTGTCGTGCCAGTCTCCGCATGTGCAGTGTCCAGCATCGAGACCGTCGCAAGCAGGTGCTCAAAGGAGTCTCTACTTGTCGGTTTGTGGACATTCAAAGCCCTTTGTCAGGCGCTGCTCTGTCATTCGAACCCCAGACGCGGTCCTGGCATGTTTTTGGCATCTACTCACCCAACCTTTGTTTTCTCGCTCGCGGCTAGTTCATACCAGAAGTTCCTAGAAGCATGTTTTGCCAGGTCTTGTTTCCTCGCACTCCGCTGGGATCCGTTTCAATGGAGCCACCGCATGGGTTCGCCTTGCCACAGGCAGGAAGGGGTCCAACAACTGCCCAGCTTTCTGAAGCAGTTTGGCCACCGCACGCACAGAACAGGAGTGCAGAATCTGGAAGATGGGAAGAGTGAAACGTGCAGACTGCTGTCTTCGTCGTTGTTGGAAAGTCAAGAAGAGAGCCAGAAGGTTCATGCGACGTTCAGCAACAGCTGCGAAGTGGGACCGGATATCGGGCAGCGGGAAGTGACCGGGAAGTGGTTGGGCAACGAGCAACTTTCAGCAGCGCGGCATCAAGGCGTTGTCAGGAAGGCAAGTAAGTGGCTACATGACGGAGTCTCGAGTCAGAGCGATTTCCCAACACAATATGAACCGGGATCAGCAGTGTTTGTCGCATGCTTCGGGGATGTGGCTTCGCCGATGTGCAGGCTCTAGACGAACTTCAGAGGCGAAGGCCTCCGACTTCATCCTGTGAGACGCGTATTACGACAGTCTTGGCAGATTCCCTTTTGCTTGAGTTCTTTCTGGGCAGGACAAGTACACTGAGTTCTGAGGCAGCTCGCGTGCAAACTAGCACTGAACTCAGTTCCAGTTCTACTCGTAGCCGATTGTACAGCCCGCTTGAAGACGGCGTTCAGTCTGGATTCCAGAGCGACCACGGAGCTGACAGACATCGGCTCTGAGGTCATTCAACGACGACGCGCAGAAGCTCCCTCGACATGATTCCGAGCACGCTGCAGACTTAACGTTGTCGTCGCGGGGATTTGTGAAGACACGAAGTTGCAACCCAATGAGCTAGGCCTGATATGTACTACAGTTGGCCTGTGGACATGAACCCGGCAGTTGCGAGCTCAGCTCCTGAGGGGCTGGGGCTTAACATAACCCCATAACTTTCCACAACTCTACTATCATTGAAAAGGTTACCTTTCTCAGTGTCGGCGGTCTCGGAGGATTTTGGGGATTTTGAGGGGCACGTCGTAACCTGGAGGATTGAACGTCAATAGCAGGTCCTGAAGAGGCACCTGGCAGTCGCAATAGTAGGCTTGGATGCAAAATAGCAGGTGCATGGCAGGCTGGTCAGGCGAGTCAGTACTAGGAACTACAACTACATAGTACACCTCTTTAAACGGGCAAGCTTGACACAGTATCCAAGCTCAGAGGACGACCACGCGCATGCTGACTGCGACTCCAAGATGACGACCACCAGAATGAGAATATCGATGGACACGAGAAGGAAAACAAGGGCGGCAGACGAGTTAGTTATGCGATATAAATAACGGTATTGACGAATGCGCCGGCCTTCGCCATGGCCGAGTTGTGCGGGGTCGTCGCGACGACCCCCCCGCTGGACGTCGAATGCCGTCCCTAACCGCCCGAACGATGTTCGTGGACGTTGGGTCATGCTGGGGCTAACAGATTGTAGCTGCGACAGCCTTTTGCTCTACACCTGCTGCAGCCTGGGTGCCCACCTGTGCAGCGGCAGCTTGGTTATCCGCTAGAGCTGCTAGAGCAGTCGTTGGGGCATGCTGGAGCAGCAACTTTGGTGATAGCTATGGGGGGCAATTTTTTCGGCCATTATTTGTTTGCTACTGTGGCCATTGTCCTTTTTGGGTGGCGTTCTTGTTTCGTAGTAAGTATAGTAGCAAGTAGTCGTGGTAGTTTTAGTAGTCGTCGTCGTTGTCGTCGTCGTAGTGGTGCAAGTCACAAGCGCTAGCATTATTCCAATGCTAATGTTAATTTTAACGCTACGCCGCCCGCCTCGGCTGCTCCTGGCTAGAGGGCACGGCATAGACCCCGATAGGGGTTTGTACTCAACGCCAGCTGTCAGCAAGCAAGTGCGGAGACTGGGTGCAGAGTCAAGCGTGAGATAGCTGCATGTTGGCATTGTCATGCTGAGTTCCGTGACAGAGGTGGCGAAGTAGGGGAGGGGTAGGGGGGGAGATCGGGAAAGAGTTGGGGCCCAAAAACGCGAACAAAAACGCGGGCAAAGGCCGACAGTGAGGTAAAATCAGACGAAGCCGGGTGGGGGGAAGCCGTGCGTCTGTTTCTTCACACTCTTCAGGCCTCTCCAGCCGTGCCCTCCCAAGGAGCCGGAACAGGAAAGGTGGGCAGGCAAACAAGCAGAAAAGAAAGAGCAGGAGCTAAGACTTGTAGCACACGGAGAACAGCTATAAAAACAGAACGTGGAGACAGAAAAAG